CAGTGTAAGGCAATAATATGCACTTTTGACAAGAATTTGGGTGATTTTCAGAGTACTGAGGTGATTGACGATGACTACCTACCACAGTGCTCTAGAATCAATTTTAGGACGACTACAATCGCTTCGAAACCGCACGGCATAAGGAGGCAATGCGAAACGAACGTCAGAAATCGGAAGAGAGTCGCTTTCAAGCCTATGGAGATCGCCCAGGAAGTGGAGTAGAGTTGTCAAGCCATCATTGGGAAGGCGGAGAGGTGGGAATATTTTAGATTGAGAATTACTGTGAAGCTTAGATAGATGGGACAAAGTCAATCCAAATCAGATTAAACAGTGCTTAAGATTGGACCTTTAAATATCAGATGTTTTATATACAATGCTTTCTACCATCCTCGAATCTAAAATTTTGTATTATGGTGATTGTTCACCTTAAAAGAAATGAGAGCATAAATTTGAAACCAGAGGAGGATCTTGAATAAAGTAAGAACTTTTCAGATAATCACAGATCCTAGCCAACTTCCAAAATCTTTAAAACCGCGGCGGTTATACTACTCTCCGATAGGAGACGGAACTGTTGCTGCTGATGGTGTTGAGTTGAAGAGGTATAAATTTAAACTGAGTTAAAAAAAGCCGTGAAATCATGGAAACTATGAGACTTTTTCAGGCGACCTGCTGACTTGTCACCTCGTGTCACTATTACACAAGTACAACACGTGGATCGTGGTCATAAAGGTCACGATGGTTTGAATATTTATGAAAAGAGTTGGACGAACCCCTTAGGATGTGAGTTAGCATATAGCCTTGTTACGTTTAAGTTCTTGGTGATTCAAGGTCTTTGACCTGTTTTAGCCCAAGCGGGAAGTGAAGCCGGCTACGGTAGCGAATTTGGTGGTGGGCCTGGCAGTGGGCGTAATTCGCGAGCAGACGCTTTGAGTCCGTCTGGAGATCTTTACGGCAAGGGACCACATGCGGGTGCGGGTGAGTTTTTACTTTCTAAAGGTCGCAAGATTAAAAAATCTTTTTTTGAGTATCTCAATCAGGAGAAATGGTGATTCAAAATGTCTATTGAAGGTTCCGGCCCTTATGGAGGAGGTCCAGGTGGTCCCGGAGGTCTTGGTGGTGCCGGAGGCGGTTCTGGAGGCCCAGGAGGTCCTGGTGGATTCGGAGCTGGAGGGGGTCCTGGCACGGGAGGAGGATATGGAAGCGGTCGTGGGACTCCAAGCGGGCCAGGAGCAGGAGGTACAGTACAATCTTTCACTATTCTATTTAAAAAATTATCTAATTTCTAATTGTAATTTCA